AGGGGCCCGAGGTAGTGAAGCTTGGGGGGCTCCTTGTGGGCTTCTGGGCTTTGGGGGTTGTCTCTCACCGGGGGGGCTCTGCCATGGGAGAGCAGGATTTGGGGTCATCTCTGCTGGGTGGGGGGACCTGTGCTGGGACCCCCCCAGTGTTACTCCTCTAGGGAGGAGCAGCAGAACTGGGGGACCCATCCCCTTCCCTGGCCACCCCTTGAACGATCCTGGCTGGGGGCTCTGCCCCCGCATGAGTAACAACCGCAGGCCCCTCCGGAGAAGGGGGCTTGGGCCACGCTGTGCCCGTGGCTTTCAGCACCAACACCTTTCAAACGTTCTCTGAAAGCTCCTCAGTGCACATCGCTCGGACAGGATGCACACTGCCACGCTTCAAGATGCAGATCTTTTACAGCGCTGCTTCACAGCCAGCTTAAAGTCTCTTGAACATGCCTGAAACGGGGCTTTTTTGGTGTTTTTTTACTTGCTGTTTTTTGCTGCGTGCCTGGAAACCACTCTCGTGGCGTCTGTGGGGCTGTCAGGATCCCTTGGTGGCAGATACAATCCCCATCCGTCATCAGAAATAACCACGGTGATCAGGGCTCAGAGAATGTCCAGTGACTGCTGCTTGTTCCTGCTCTTCGTTAGCTGTCAGGTTCACACTAAAAATCCTCTGGTGCCTGCAAGGACGAGGAGGGGATCATGGTGCGGTTTGACGCTTCAAGCTGCCAGCAATTCCTGAATCGTGATTCTCCTGCTGTTGTAATTCTCCTTAAACACACCCAAAAAGCAACGATTTGGGGTTTATTTTTAAGCCAGCGCCGTATTTTTCATATTGCTGTTTGAGGACGACTTGGTGGCGGCTCGGAGAAGTCCACAGGCTTTGGGTCCAAAAGCCTGGCCATGCTGTGCTTTGCACAAAAATACAATGAAAAGTCAGGTACAACCAATTAAAAGCTTGTAATTGCAGCTAGGATAATTAGTGCAGCGCAGGAACAAGCCCTGGATGCAAACAAGCGATGCCCAGACATCACCAAAATCGTCTTTGCTCCAACACCGAGTTCGAAGGCTCATTGCATCCTGACTGTGTTTCACCCACCTCCAGTGCCACGGATGCGTTGGATCCTCTCTGCTGTGCTGGATCTCTGCTGCAGGATGAGCCGATCCCAGAATCCTGCACCCTCTGTCATGGTCAGATCGCTCATTTAGGGGCTGCTTTTCATAGTTTGGGGGATTTTTTTTTTTATCAAAGCCTCTTGTGATCTTGTTTGCATCCACGATCTGGATCCTTCGTGGGACACTTGCAGCAGGCTCAGCCTCTCCAGGCTAGCTCTGAGAGCCCTTTTCTGCAGCAAGCTTTTTATTTCCTTTTTAATTAAAATCGATGAGCTCTTTGCCAGAGCCTGTCCGGGAGTGGATCTGTCCAGAGGTCAACCCTTCAGCAGCTCGAGAAACGTTAGCTCTGTGCGCTGCCAGGTCCTGCCTGTGTTTGTTCTGCCCGAATTGTCTGGCTGGCTGCCCTGCATTCTTGCCCACTGGTGGGCAAGCAGAGGAGTTTTGGGGGCAAGTCCCCAAAATCCTCCTCCCCGTCGCAGCATGCTCACGGGGGCGAGGTTCCCATCAGGAAGGCACGGGCAGATTTATGGGAGCGAGGAAGAGAAATGATTTTCCTCCCGCCTGCCGGGCTTCCCTTCAGAAACCCCCTTGTCCCTTTGGTGGAGGAACCTTTAAAGGTGAGATCGGAGGTTTTCAAACTAGGCTGGAGGTTTGGGAATTAGGTAAGCGCTGGGACTGATCCAGAAGGATTGGAGGGGAACAGGAGCTCTGTCAGGATAACACTGCGTCTGGGGAATCCATCTCAGGCTGCTCCGGCTCTTGCCTGGCTTTGGATGCAGCTGGAAAACCCCCAACCCTCTTGCACCCGGCTGTAAGTTTGTGGGGTTGGGTTTTGCCCTGCTTAAAGCCAGGGGATGGGGGCGGGCAGTGAGCCCAGGGTGACTTTGGGGAAGCCCAAGGGGGGAGCAGTCCCCTCCAGCCACCACTGGCATGTGGCACGTCCCCTCGTCCCGCCGCCTAGCATAGTGGGATTTTGGAGCCCAGGGAGTTAATCCTGTCAGGTGACTCCGATTAATTTTTCTCTAGCTGTTTGTTTTGCAAGGGACTGTGCACCCCCTGAGCTTGTCCAACCCTCCTGCGGCTTTTTAATCCCTCATCGCGTGGTGGCCAGGTAGAGGGATGATACCGACAAACCTGCTCCATCCTCGCACCTCCAGGTGTGCAAGGCTGCCACGCTGATTTTTAATTGGGGGGGGGGGGAAGTTGGG